GATGATGACGATGTTGATGATGACGATGTTGATGATGACGATATTGATGATGACGATGTTGATGATGATGATGACGATGATGATGATGATGCCGTTGCCGACAACGATGATGATGATTAAGATAATGATTAAGATGATGATAACGGTGTTGATGATGACGACGACGACGATGATGATGATGACGATAATAGATCATAATTATAAATGGCACTAATATCTCGAGCATAACTTCACCAGTTCGTTCCTTTGTCCTGCAGGTTGGTCCCGACTCAAACCTTACTCACACCCAGTGTCTCTGCACCCACGCCACGTCCTTCGCCAGTGACTTCGTCGTGCCGCCCAACAAGATCGACTGGAGTAAAATATCACTGGATGAACTTTTTAAGAACTTCCTGGTGACAGCCATACTCTTGACAGCTATTGGTTTATATTTCCTGCTCTTGATTCCAGCCAGGAGACAAGACCTCAAGGACTTGGAAAAGGTACGAAAATATTTTGGTGTCTTTAGATACAAAAGGCAAGCGCAGATTTGTGGGTTTTAGAGAAATGTCCAGTTACTTGAGAAATGCCTCACTCGGCTGATCCTCCTTCTTGAAAGCGTAGAAAAAAAAGTGCAGGCAAATAAACGTCTAATGCATTTACCACTCCTGGGTGGACATTGCCTAACAGGTTTTGCATCCCAATCGATAAGGCAGCCAATAGATCGAATTAGAATTTAGAAGTTGATTTTTTAGGAGGGAAAAACCTTCGAAGCAAAGGAGAGAACCAACAAACAACTCTACTCACATACAACACCGAGGCTCGAACCCGGGTCGCATTGGTGAGAGTTGATGAGCGCACGCCACCCGCGCTTCCCAGAGTACACTGCTTAACCCCCCACCCAGGAATTGAAGGGAATAAAGTTCACTGTAACATCTGACTCTCTTGTCAAAAACACGGGTTGTGAAAATAAAAGAAAACTTTTTATCGAGTTCGACAGTGGCGCAGCTCAACGGGGTCGAACTGAAAGCAATGTGAAGGCGCCTCTGTCAGCCGCTATTCAGTCCATGTATGACCCCGGAGCACAACTTCAACCAGCTGATATAGCTAGGTTTGATTTGAAAGGAGGCAGGAAAACCTTCGGAGTCAGAAAGAAAACCAGCCAATTCAGCTGACATGGGGGCGACTGGGCACCTGTGAGAGTAAATGGCTGATGATTCAGTAGATATATGTTGCCTTCCCAATTGCTTAATTTTAAGGTGAAAAGACTAAAAACCCAGTACATATTTACCTTGTCTCTATTAGATTGGTGTCATCCCGATTCCATCCAATGACCCGCGGGATACTTACGGGTATGAGGTTTGCTTATACACGGGATTCCAGGCGGGAATGGGAACGACCGCTCAAGTGACAATCATCATGTCAGGATCAAAGGAACAGACTCAGCCAAGGATCCTTACAGACACTGTTGGCACGAGACCAAAGTTTTATCGAGGTGCAGTTGACAGCTTTCTTGTGACAACTCCATATGATCTTGGTGAACTTGGATCCATAAAGATTTGGCACGACCATGGCGGGAATAATCCGTCTTGGTTTCTGTCGCGTCTGTACATCCGGGACCTACAGACTGACAAAAAGACGTGGTACATATGCAACCGCTGGCTTGCTGTTGAGGAAGACGATGGAAAAATCGAAAGAGTCTTGAACACCGCTACAAATAAAGAACTCACAAGCTTCAACCTTCTCTTTTCCACAGAAGCAAGGAAGAATTTTTCGGATAGCCATTTGTGGTTTTCAGTCTACAACCGGCCGCCTCAGAGCACGTTCACTAGGGTACAGCGCATGACATGTTGTCTTTGTATTCTTCTAAGCACTATGCTCGCTAACGCCATGTTCTATCAGACTGGCGAGGAGACACCCAACGCTGAAGTTAAAATAGGACCGATTAGATTATCGACGAAGCAGATCTCGATCGCCATAACGAGCAGCTTAGTGGTCTTACCCATGAACATGCTGATTATGAATTTATTCCGAAAATCTCGTCCAAAGAATCCACCATCAGAGAACAGAATTAATAAGTTCTACGTCGGAGAAAATGCGGGGGCGAAAGAGGACAAAGATCAGAATTTGGAGGAGGAGGGAGCGCAGGAGAAGGATGAAGAAGCGATGGAAGACGATGATTATGTGATATCGATGGATGAGGAGAAATCCGAGAAAACGAAAGACAAGCAGAAAGAGGAGAAAAAGAAGGAGAAGAAAGCAAAAAAGGAAAAAGAACCATTCATGCTTCCCTATTGGGTGATTTACATTGCTTACGTTCTCGCCTTCCTGACATGCGCAGTATCATCTTTATTCACGATCTTCTATTCTCTGACGTTCGGGAAGGAAAAGTCTGAAGGCTGGATCAGCGCTATGATGATCTCCTTTTGGCAAGACGTTTTAATATCTCAGCCAATCAAAGTCCTTGCCATAGCGATGATCTTGGCGCTCATAATCAAAGACCCTGAGAAAATTGACGACGGTACTAACCGGTCAGCGGAGTTAGGACACGACGAGGAATGGATCCACAGGGATCCCGACAGTAACGAGAAGCTACGTCTTGGTAACTTCATTCCGAAGCCACCAGGAGAAGACATGCTGTACGAGCCGAGACAAAGACTACTGAAACAGAAGGAGATGAAAGCGATAATCAAGGAAATACTCGTGTATTTTATCTACATCATGGTCTTGTGTATCGTCGCAAATGGTAGTACAGATCCACAGGCCTTCCATATATCGAAATTCACTACCGAGGTCTTTGCTGGCAGCTCGTATGCAGGATCAAGTCCATTGGATCAGGTAAGTGATGGTCTCGATTGATGACGCTCTGATTTGTTGCGGACCCTACCATAGAACTTTTCTGAGTTCGATAATAGGACGTTTGCATGATGGCGTCATTTGACTCCCACCACTATAACGCTTCGAGAATTTTTTTCTCATTTAAATTTGTATTCCCTCATAAGAATAGTAAGACAATTGGTGCTAATTAAGTGAACAAAAGAAAGTGTGCAAGGGAGTCTGGTAGTAGAGGTCAATGACGCCATCATGCAAACGTCTATTATAATGCATGGTTGTCTGGGTAGGGTACGAACAATACTATAATAGGAAATGGCAAATGAAATGTTTGTACCTAAATTAAACCGCTATGCGCTATGTTACAACATGATGCATTGTGGTCTAGATTGGGTACAAGCAACACCACACAAGAAATGGTGAAAACAAGATGTTTGTACCCAAGCTAGACCACAATGCACCATGTTAACTATCTCAGAAAACGTCTGTGAAGACATCGCTGAGCACCGTTATCTCGAGGACGTACTTATCGTCTTTGTAAATCTAACAAAAATAGTACTGTTGATATAGTACGCCTCCTTAGATTCAATCCCACAATTCGATACGGGAAGAACCCAATACCAGTCTCATTTTAAATGTCGGCAAGGCGAGTTAATATTATTTGTTATTAAAGTATTCACCTTCCATTACCTCAGGTCAGTGAGCCTGTCAACTATTGGGCCTGGCTCCACCAAACTGTCATCCCTTCCCTCAAGCCAAATTACTGGTATGGACCATACGTAGAAGAGAGAGAAGAACAGCTGTGGACTGAAGAAAGCATCAAACGGACCAGTAGACGAGGATGGAACGTGAAGATCCATAAACGAACCTCGGGTGGTGCCGGATCCGGGTCTTACTTTGATAACTCTACTGTACATAAGTTCCCTAAAGACGCTATCGCGGATAGTGGAACAGCTTATGTTATTGGAACAGCTCGACTGCGCCTTCTTAAAGTCAAGCCAGGTGAGAAACACCATGAGTGTCGGATAGATAGATTTAAAAATAGCTGACTCTTTGGTTGAATAATTATACGCTTGGGCTTCATGTGATGACGTCATACATTTGTGTCGGGGTTTCTTATCTTTTCTTGGGCTACCTGTGGTGACTCTGAATTTAGTCTGCAGCTTATCCACCCTGCTTTTACACTAAGGGGTTTGCAAGCATACCTTGGAGGTTCTCGAGTTGATAGCCATGTTGATGGTATTCGGGATACGGACGAGGAATCCTTTGTTAAATACCACCAACATGGCGGCAATGATGTGTGAATGACGGTCACCGTCTTCATTCCAGTACTGGCAAAGAAAAGACTGTACGTACTTTCCACTTCTATCACATGTACTTACGTAAATGTTATTCATAGGGAACTGCGTGATCCACCCGGTCCTAGAGAAGCACGTATATAGTTGCTCTGCTAAATACTCATGGGAGAAAGAAGATGAAAGCCCTTACCTTCCTGGATGGGTGGCGGTCAACGAGACGATGCAAGAGGAACTGAAGAAAGACAAGAAGTCCCCCTGGGTCTGGCGGAGTGCATGGGATCTCAAAGGAACCCCTTATTGGGGTATATTCAACACTTACTGGGGTGGGGGTAAGTATCATTTTTGTCACCATGATCATTATTTAACGAAGTTGTAAAGTAACGTAGCTGAAATCAGCCATGGCTCAAGAATTCGCATCGGGTATTTTTTTCGGGTTCTCCGATCAGCTGACATCAACATATGTATATTCAATAAAACAAATTTCGTATGAGTGTGAGAAGCTCACAGTACAGACGAGTGACGCTACCGTATCCAAGAGTGGCTGAGCGATGACCTTGCGCCCTGTGATTGGCTCTAATGATGTTGTCAATTCCATACCGTGACCGTGCCGTGTCATATTAGTTTCACATTAATGCAAAACATCGATGCACAACTTCAATGCACATGATGCTACTGCATTACCTAACCAATGCTACTGCATTACCTAACCAATGCTACTGCATTGCCTAACCAATGCTACTGCATTATCTAATGCTACTGCATTACATAACCAATGCTACTGCATTACCTAATGCTACTGAATTTACCTAACAAATGCTATTGCATTACCTAACCAATGCCACTGCATTGCCTAACAAATGCTACTGCATTGCCTAACTAATGCTACTGCATTACCTAAACAATGCTACTGCATTACCTAATGCTACTGCATTTACCTAACCAATGCTACTGCATTACCTAATGCTAGTGCATTACCTAACCAATGCTACTGCATTACCTAATGCTACTGCATTTACCTAACAAATGCTATTGCATTACCTAACAAATGCTACTGCATTACCTAACCAATGCTACTGCATTACCTAACCAATGCTACTGCATTACCTAATGCTACTGCATTTACCTAACAAATGCTATTGTATTACCTAACAAATGCTACTGCATTACCTAACCAATGCTACTGCATTACCTAACCAATGCTACTGCATTACCTAACCAATGCTACTGCATTACCTAACCAATGCTANTAACCAATGCTACTGCATTACCTAACCAATGCTACTGCATTACCTAACCAATGCTACTGCATTACCTAACCAATGCTACTGCATTACCTAACCAACGCTACAGCATTACCTAACCAATGCTAATACTCTGGTCATTTTCAGGTTACGTGGCCAATGTGAATCCAAACAGGTTGGAAACCATCAAGTCCATGCAGAAGCTTGAGCTTGAGATCTGGATTGATCGCTATACAAGGGCAATCTTTACCGAGTTCTCACTCTACAACGCATATTCTAATTTCTTTTGCGTTGTGACGATGCTGACTGAAATCATCCCTACAGGGGGATATTACCATTACGTACAATTCAGACCCATCCGTCTATATCGCTATACAGGACCCGAGCAGCTGACCATAATGGCGTTTGAAATCATCTATTTCGCCTTTCTATTCATGTTCACATACAGCGAAATCAAAGAACTCTACAGACGCAGGAAAAAGTATTTCGAGGATCCTTGGAACTACTTGGAGTTTTTAGTCATTGGAATGTCATTCTCAGCGGTTGGACTTTATTTCGCTCGATTCGCATTCGGAAAATTTGCCGTGAAATCAATGAAAGAAAACCCTAATGATTTCATCAGTTTTACGTATCTTTTGCTACTGGAGGAGTACCAGGTGGCTACGCTTGGATTTGCTGTGTTTTTCGCTATCTTGAAGTCTCTTCGCCTTCTGAGGTTCAACCGACGCATGTCACTTTTAACCGAGACAGTCAAGGCCTGTGGTAAACCGTTATTCTCCTTCTTTATCATGTTCATGGTCATCTTCCTTGCTTACGTCCAGTTTGCCATCATCGTTTTTGGACCTCATGATGAAAACTACAGCTCATTCACCACGTGTGTCAGTACCATGATGTCCTTGACCTTAGGAGGATTTGACTTTGACGCACTTATGGCCAACAACCGTATTTTTGGACCAATCTTCTTCTTCACTTATATGATATATGTCTTCATGATTCTAGTCAACGTCTTCTTGTCCATCATTAATGATACCCTAGCCGAGGTCAAGAGCGATGTCGATTTACAGCCCAATGACTTTGAGATAGTGGACTTTGTGATGCACCAAATTAAGATGATAGCTGGCTGGAGAGTTGGTCCAGCCATTACGCCCCTCTATAAACCAACCAAGACAAAGTTTGTACAAGAAGTGGACGCCATCGAGTCGCTCGCCGAAAACATCGAGTACGCCTTGAGCAACACGATTGTCGAGGATGAACGACAAAACAACTGGTTGAAACCGGAAAACATGACGAGAAAGAAGCTTGTTCTGCTCAATGCAGTGCTGCACATCGAGGAGGATTACAGCGAGGACGACCTGTCGAATCTGATTCCATTAATGGAAGAATTCCTTATCAGACATACCGACAAGGAGGTAGCGAGGATCATTCTCGGTGAATCATCTGAATGTGGCGACACAAACATTTCGTTGAAATGGGAGGGGGAAGGAAATAGTTGCCATGACTACGAGCAACTCAATAATCCCGCAGGCTCAAACAAAAGCTGTAACTATGCTCATCTCTATGACAACGTTGGTGATCGCTCAACACTGTCCACCAAGTCGGCTGAAGAAGACAATGAATCTGATTTAGACTACGAGGTGATGGATGCTAACTCCACAACACAGGAAGACCACGGCCAAGACGACCTGTCGGAAACGAACTCAGCCTTAAGTGAAGCTGATACGCATGCGCAAGGAAGCAAAGAGAAAGACGACAGCCAATCAATGGGCACCTGTGTGAGTGACATCAGCATTGAATCGGGAAATCCCCGACATCTCACTGCTGTCAAAAATACTCAATGAAGAACAACCTTCAGAGTTGGACGAATAATTAATCACTGACAAGAAAAAAATCTGGGAATACGATAATATTTTTTTGGGGGAAATAAGGAGGGCCTCTCCAACAAAGAACTAATGCTTGACTTTTTAAAAACCGAAAACTAAATATGAGATGCACTGAATCTAGTTTCAAGTAGACTATAGAGCCTTAAATTGACGGCGAATATTGCTGTAAACGCATTAAAAACCAGCTAGGTTATCTGCACCTAAATACTAAAAACAACATTGGCATTTATACAATAACGGATTCACTGCCTACAATACGTAGAATAAGTTGTTCTTGCGGTTCTAACTTGTTTTTTTACGACCATGCACAACAAAAAGAGGCGACAAAAGACGACAGACAAACAATGGTAGCTAAAGTAATTCTATTCGTGAATCGATCGTTTCTTCCTCAGGTTTCATTCTCAAATCTTTCTTGATCGTGCCTTTATGTTTGTATCTGGTTTGTATCCATCCATCTCACTCGGATTATATTCGTGCTTCACTCGCGAGGTGCTCGGGCTTCTTTCGTATTGCATTCACTCATATAAACATAAGCCATTTGAACAATGAACTGACTAAACTGTAGATATCGCTGCATGTTCCATATATAGATGTCAGTCAGACACAATACGTTAATTTAAGGAATGATTCTTAGCATGAATAAAATATAAGTCACACAAAAGTGTCAGTAGTGGTAAATATATCGATGGCTTCCAATCATTCCCAAGGAATTCAAGAGACAAAAACATGGCGGCGACACTAGGGAAAAACGTTTGCGCATGCGTGCACTTCAGCACGTTTTCTAAGAATTTTAAAGAGTTGAGTGAGAAAATAAATGTTTGTTTTCTCCAAGTATACAAAAAAGTTCGAGAGTATACTCTTGTCAGACCAAGATACTGTATTAACAAACACAATATGAAAGAATTAGACCTAAGTTTCAAGCATGGACACTAAGTTTTGGCATTTTATGAAGTCCAATTTATCAGTCATGTTTGAAAGTCAAATTTTCTTGTGTTTTGACTAATTTGAATACGGATTCAGAGCATGCGCAGACGTTTTTCACTCGTGTCCATGGCGGCCATGTTGGTATCCTTTACAAAGGAAGCTAATGAGAAGTCTTTAATACCACCAACATGGCGGCGATGATGTACATTTGATGGAAAGATTACACTAACGCTATAAAAATGTTAAGTATCGCAACACGTGGTCAGCGGTGAACCTCCAATTTGGTCACGTGACACCTGTCAGTCGTCATCATTCCTAATACCAATGACGCCATTCTTTAAAATAGATTTACGTATACAAAACGTTGCGCATCAAAAAGACAAAAAAAGTTTTTTATGCCATAGGAAATGATCTTGAGTTTTGAAGAGTCTTGCTGAACAGTAACTTAAGATTCCTTCTCAAAAAGCGAAACAAAAGTTAGTACTTCCGGTGCGATAGTAAGAATTAATGCGGTCGCAGGAAAACAAAGTCCGTGACCAAACAATGCAGTTTTCCTTCTAGAGGGAAAATTTAGTTATCGAAGAAAGGTGAATATGCTTCTAATCTTAATCGAATTGATGGATTGTAAGCATGCATTCCCAAGAGAGTCAAAAGACAAAAACATGGCGGCCATTGTGGTGCCGTTAACAATGGATGCTAATGAGGAATTTTTTGTTAAATGGCACCAACGTGGCCGCGATGACTAACGTACAATCGAAGAATAGTAGTCGTGTCGTATTCAAAATATAGAAAAGGGTCCACAGTAATTGGCTACGCGATATTGTGCTTCCAAACCGTTTCACTGACTTTGTGACGGTGAAACAAATAAAATAAAATTAGTCGGTAACATATGATTGAGGCCTGCTATGGTATAGTTTTCACTACAGAAATGAGAGACTCATGGTTAAAATTATAGGTACGATAATAGAAGGCTTTTCCACAACTTCGCCAAATATAGGGAAGGAGAGTGTTTTTTAAATATAAAAAACAAATATAAATATAATTCTCAGAACGTAGAGAGAGAGGGAGAATATAATATCCAATGTTTTTGGATTGCCCAATCACCACATTTTTTCTGAATAATTCCTTTGTCAAACCGCCTTTCAAAGAGTGGTCGACTCGTTTCAGAGATCGAACCATCGATGACGATGCATCAGATCTTCATACTGGTATTTTGTCCTTTGGTTTGCAGCAAGTGGACTAAAAACTCTCTTTACTTACACTGATATAATGGCATAGTTGATAATAACAGTCACTATACGAAGGCATTACAGATTCCTCAAGTTCCTGTTAAGATCTTCCTCGTCTTGACTAAGGTAAGTCTCGCTAGTACAACTGGCTACGATTTGCTTGCTCATTTAAGAATGGATTTTCATGTTGATAATAAATAACAAAGTTATGGACCATGGTTGAACTGCTCGGCAAAAATGCATGATAAGTGGCAAATGTTTCCTCTACTATACGGATTCAGTTCTAGTCCTGGACTCTTTATGAATAACTAGCCCTTCTCTAACCGGGCTGCTTGTGATGAATGAACTCTGAAAAAATAGATCGTAATTTCTGGGTATGTTAAACAACAGAGGATGAGCAGTGGATGTTAATTTTCACAACCGTTTTTGCTATCTAGGCGAAGGCTGTTTAGTTGTAACGTGTTCCCTACACAGATGTCCCGAGTATACGCAGTTTTGGCGTCAGTAATGTAAAGTAATGTTGTAGAGATGTATATTTATTATATTCTTCGTAGTTTCGATTTTTCGTTTCTTCATTCAGTTCTACTTTCGAAAACGAATATTTCGTCAAGGGCGGATCCAGGGGGAGGGTCGGGGGGGGGGGGGGGGCGCCCCCCCCCCTCCCTACCTGGGCGCAAATGGGCTTCTTGTGGTAAAAATGCGACTGGGATTCCTTTGCCCACAAAATTTACCCCTGAGACCCCCCYTYMWAAAAACCCTGGATCCGCCCTTGTTTCGTCCATAATCTTAGTAATACCTTGGAATCAATCAGCTAAATGAATCTCTGATGCATCTCACGAATCTCATTGCCAGCATTCAGTGAAGTTAAAAACACTGGCCGTCGAGTGCTATCAACCAGAAAGTATAGAATATTCTATTGCTTGGAATCAATCAGCTGAATGAAATATATTAGTCTTCAGTGGTCGAAAGGCAAACACTATCCGTCATGTGCTACCATCATCATTGAAATTAGATGGTAAATATTCCAAACAAGAAAGGAAATGACATCTATTGATAATAACATTTTTTTCTCCGACAGGTACACGTTACCATGAGTAACAACACTACTACAGAACACTACGACTACCCTACTACAGCACCAGTACCAGTAAATAATGGAACGCTGCCTACCAACAGCACTATTAAGACTTATCTACAAACTGGTTCACTTATGAATAAATATGCTTGTAGTTGTTCAATAGAGGTGTGCGCAAAAGAGCACTTTGGCCTAATCGTTTCCGTGTGTGCTTTAAACCTGTTTTTCTTGATCATCGTGACCCTTTGCATTTGCACTAAGCGTAAGTATGACTGTCTCTTACACGCCTGTCTGTGCTGTGTGTTTAAGTCGTTTAACTTGGAGTTTTTGCTTCTGATTTCAGGGAACTGCAGTAAAAAGTCAAGGTATACATTCATTCATTTTTCCCTCTGAACAGTAATTCGTATCTGCCGAATATGTTCCCAGCCGCCTAACAAAACGTCTCCATGACAACGTGCAAATTAAACTGGTACAACGATTGCCACAAACAGTCACGTTAAACGCTCAACCTGAATCCGCTGTAATTTGTATTCATTTTGACTTGGTTTTTTATTTTTTTTCCTTTTTTTCATATACTAAGGCGATATGATTTGCGAATGCGATGCTCATCTTGCGCGACATCAGGTTGAGTAGTTGCTTAAGCAGGCAATGTTTGCACGACGTTAAATGATTTTACCAAGTGATCGAGTCAACATTGAATTTATTTTTCATTTTCAGCAGACACGACATAGAAGCCAAAAAGGTGAGTGTTCTTCAGTCCTTTCTAAGTAAGGGTTAGGGTTAGAATAGGTTAGAATACCTGAGACAAAAGCGGCCCATCTTGAAAAACTTCATTTCATGCTGAGTAAATGAGACTCAAACAATCCATGCATGCTTTGCGATTGCATCTTGGGTCCAGTCCCCCAACTTCTTCTATCACCAGAAAATTCATTCTCTTAGGAATTTCCATAAAACATCTAAAAAGATGAAACTGAAATATTTGACCGGAGAATGAATATGGTTGTATCGTTCTTCTAGATGACCACACTTGAAAGGACAACCGCAGAACAGAGTGACAACCAAAGCCCCACCGCCATCACTCCAATAGCAGCGCCCCCACGAAAACCCTTACCTCTTCCACCATCTTCATCTCGACAACCCTCAACCGCTTATACCGAGCATCCGACCCACTTAGAGATAATATCCGACAATAGCTTCCATTACCAAGAACAAAATATTGATGACGATTCGCAGGATATAAAGACACCAGGCTTTAGGCGTGCGTTGATTCCACCACCCCAACGACGGCACAGGCTACCCAATGCACCACAACCATCATCAAGTATGGAGACGAATTATTATGAAGTATCATCGTATCTTAGACCTCAGGAAGGATTAGTGGTACAAGGTACAAGTCCATACGCAGAGCTAACGTACCAGAGAAGGGAATCGCGTGCAGATTCAACGACAAAAAATAAGGGATATCTCGGGTTGAATTCTTTGACGAGAATACGTGCGAAAATGAAAAAAAATCGTACCAGTAACGAATGATAAACGCATTTCAATAGGACGTTTGCCATGATGGGGTTAATGACCTCTACTACCAGACTCCCTTGCACGCTTTCTTTTGTTCAGTTAATTAGCGCTTATTGTCTCACTATTCTCATGAGGAAATACAAATTTGAATAAGAAAGAAAATTCGCGAAGCATTATGGTAGTGGGAGTCAAATGACGCCATCATGCAAACGTCCTATGAACGTTGTCAGTTGGCGGATCTGAAATGGGCGATCTGAGACAAAACAGAGCGTTTGTTCTTTCAGGCCTCATATTCCAATCTACGTCGTTTGACTGTAAACTGATATATTCAAGTTTGAAGCGTGTTACTTCCCCTCAGATTTCAGATCCGCCAACCCACAACGTTTATTGAAATAGGTGTATACACTCAATATATCACTTGGGAACGGGCTGGGGGAGACAATCGACTAAAATCACCGAACCAGAAAAAAAATTATGCCACAGTTCTATATCGGACATATCGCCAACTGCTCTTGTTAAGTTTACATTGGTTTATTGCCGTATGTATTTTATAGATTATTATAGATTATTAACATTTAAAAATATTTATATTTTTGACGCTGTTGCAGGTGATGTTCACTCAGACGTACGCCAAAGATCACATGACCGTTTCCCGCCATATTTGATGCGTAACGTTTATTCCGAATTCTAAAACCATTCGCGTTTCAAAAAGGGCGGGAAATGGTCATGTGACAAAATGATATAATTATACATATGTACGTCGCGCATGTTCATAGCACGAACCTTTCAGTAATGTATATATATTATCAAGCGCAAATATTTTCCCAGTAGGTCTTTGCGCGCCGAGCTCACCACAGGTATCCCAAAAATGAAATTAGTAATTGAGTGATTACCAAATGATTGATATTACAATATAAATTACATCCTAGAGTTTTGAATTTAAAATTATAAATAGTATATTTGATTACAATTTGTACATTTAGGAAGCCTTTTGAGTTCAAGGCTAACTGTGAACTTAAATATAGATATCTTCATGTTCCACCATGTTTTCTAGTCTTGATTTTCTGTTCAGCAAGAATTTTACACTTGTCAATCTTTAAGGGTATAAGCCATGGTGCTTGCGACACTCTATTGACTAAGAGTAACTGTAGCTTATCGTCGGCCAGGGGGGTCACTCACTCTGCCAAATTGTGACTTACCCTTGGCCAGAAGGGTAACTTGGTCAGTCGAATTGTAGATGTCTTTATCCAGTGAGTCACCCCCTCAGTAGAAATGTGGCTTGTCCTTGATCAGGGGGGTCACACCCTCAGTAGAAATGTGGCTTGTCATTGGTCAGGGGGGTCACACCCTCAGTAGAAATGTGGCTTGTCCTTGGTCAGGGGGGTCACACCCTCAGTAGAAATGTGGCTTGTCCTTGGTCAGGNGGGGTCACACCCTCAGTAGAAATGTGGCTTGTCCTTGGTCAGGGGGGTCACACCCTCAGTAGAAATGTGGCTTGTCCTTGGTCAGGGGGGTCACATCCTCAGTAGAAATGTGGCTTGTCCTTGGTCAGGGGGGTCACCGCCTCAGTAGAAATGTGGCTTGTCCTTGGTCAGAAGGGGCACCCCTCAATAGAAATGTGGCTGCCCCTGTTCAGAAGGGGCCACCTTTTTCAGTCAAATTGTGGCTTACCCTTCGCTAGAGGGTCTCTAACGGGTCCGGTGGGAAGAAATTTCGGCTGAACGAATACTTTATCCTCCACCACCTCGGCTGAAAAAACACAAATCTTCATCATGAACCTCTCGAAGGTTTCATCTCCGTTTGAAGTGGGTTTGAGAAGAAAATTTTGACAGAGGTAATGTCCCATGTGTGCTGTGGTTTGGTAGTTTGTAAGAGGAAGGTAATATAGAAGAACCCGAGGTAACCCGAGAGCAAACCGACAAAGCGCCGAATACCGGCAGACGATTTAAGGCTGCCACTAAAATCAATACAACTTTTGACCCAATCGAAAAAGCAACCAAAAAAGTCAACCAAAAAATTTTCTTCAACTCTGATTAATAAGAAAATTAATAATGCTTTACGAATTGAAGTAGTCACCTTCGCAGCCACTATTAGTGTCGTCATGCAACTTAGGGGAGTAAGTGTTGCGTGACGACAACTAATAGCGGCTGTTAACTAGGACCGAAAAATCTAAAGGTAAATATTCAACGAGCAATAGTTAACAAATTGACATCAGTTTTTTATCTGTCTGTCCTCTTATTGACGATAAATTGCGTCATCACATTGTCAAAGTGGTGTGGATTCAAGAGGCGTAACCGAGTGGATCCGCATACTACTTTGACAATGTGATGGCGAAATTTAGCGTCAATAGGAGGACAGACACATAAAAAACTGATGTCTATTTGTTTTTTACAATAACAAAAACGATAAAAACTTCTCATTTTTAGTCATCAAAACAACCAACGGAAAGAGCGCGCGCTCGTTGACGTCAGCTTTATCTGTCTGTCCTCTTATTGATAATAAAAAATAACCAATCAGCGCGCGAGAAATTTCTAAGTTATTGTAAAAACTGCTATTTCCCACCTGTCACAATTTTAATCTAGGTTGATATCAATAAATATTATATATATCATGTTGTTTTACACAAGAAATAAAATTTGAGTACTTCAACTTTAAAAACTTACCATCGTCTTCTTCATTTATATGCACACGTTCCCAGACCAATAAAGCCGTGTCCAGTCCCCCAGTAGACACCAATACGCGGTCATCGTGAGTCCAGCACACATTAGTGACATGAGACGAGTGGCCGTTGTACTGTCTATAGCGTGCTCCACGATTCTATGGACGAAAGCCAAAAAAATTCCCTTAGTTCGAGGAAAGGCTTTTGCGAGCTCCAAATGCATTGCCTCCTGTCAAACCATCGATTTTTTTTCAATTTTGGGGGATTTAATTTCGTGTGTTTTGTGTTGAGTAGGGGAAAACGGAGAACCCGTAGAAAAGCTCTTGAATCAAGAGAGACAATCTCTACTGACATGGGTTTACTCACAAAAACTGGAAAGTTGAAAAGCTTAACCATGCCAAAGTCATCACCGCTGGCCAGAAGAATATGGTCATGTGATCGAGCCGTAGCGTTAACATCGGTGACGTCAGTCAACGGAGGATAAACACCTTTTACCATTGGTCCAAGAACACACGTGAATGTCGCCCAGTCTATTTTCTCTGCGTCCTCGGTCGTGAGGGTCTGACGACGAATGTGAGGAGCTTCGTAAAAAAGATGCTCACGTGCCCCTGAGTTCGTCTGGATGAGGCGACCTGGAAAAGAGTTGCGCATTAGGTGTTGTAAGTCCTCTCTTGCATACAACGTAATATAGGATTCCCCAAAATTCCCCGCAATACAGGGTTACCAACAAATCTAAAACCACATCAATATACTAGTGCAGAACTGGACTCACTAACTAATTTATATCTCAGAAATAAGATGAAAACTGCGCGCGCAAGAAATACGAAGAAGACTTTAACGTTACATTTCTTACCAGTCTATTTTTGCGACTCGGTTCGTTTTGCCGCGCACGCATTTTTAATAGTGACAAGAGTTGAACCCCGTTGTACTCACTTTTATCGACCCCCGCGGCAAAGAAAACCTGAGTAGGAGAATAGAAATTGGCAAGAACTTTGATCAGTTTTCTTATATTTGTGCGCGCAGTGTTTTCTATTTATTTCTTACACCGCGCCTGAGGTAGAAATCTGCCCAGTTCTGCGCATGCGCATAGATCGAGCACTCACCCTTAACATCCCAGTCCAAGTGAGTGATGTAGCTAGAGCTTCCCTTACACACACCAGTTCGTTTGCCTCTCTTTACACTGTACACGTCTACATAGTTATCATGGGATCCAACAGCCAAGAACTTTCCATCTGAAAGGAAATCCTTCACAAGTCAAACCACAATTCATAGCTATGGGAGGTGATTATGCTATAGTATGACATTGGAAAACTTTGCTTTTGCTTTGCATTAGCCGGATTAATTTTTTGTCCGTATCGTTGGAATCGTTACAAATATGAAAAAAAAGTTTACTGGCTACTGAAGATCGATGACTTTGCTTGCATACTGAATGGTAACCGAGATCAAGCTATCACAGAGCAGTCAAATGATGCAGAAAAGTAGCCTGCAACGAAGACGTTTCTTAGGATCGTCACGTCGTCACGCAACGTTTCGTTTCTCTACGTGACACGACCTTCAATCTCGCACCCAGAGTCCTCCAGCGCCTTCCTGTCATGTTGTCAGCGACAGCCCGCAGACCCAAAACCCGAAAGACTCTGGGCTTGAGATTGGGTCTGCGTTAAGACGTTAGCACTCACCTGGAGAGAATTTAATATCCGAGATTTCCTCTTTACGATCCTTGTACCCCACAACCTTGTCCAGTGTAGTTTCCTCTAGAATCAGAAACCCTCCGTCATTTTGTCCCACGGCTAAGGATCCTCCGTCGGGCGAGTACGCCACAGCTCTCCCGCCTTTTTTCAGCTTCTTGACTTTTTTGAGTAGAAGCGTGTTGAGGTCCCACACTCTTAACGTCTTGTCGTCACTCACGGTCACGCATTCGTTTTTCATTGGATGAGTGTCCAGTCCCCAGACCTCTCCCTCTCCATGTCCCTATCACAACATAAAGATAAAGAAATGCTCCTTAAGGACAGGAAGTAAAGGCGCACAAAAGGAAGCCCATGCTATTAATTCTTTAGTCTATCTACACATCGTTTTGATAATTTGATTGGAGATTTGAAGCGTATTTTCTGATACGATAGAATTGCAAAATGCGACTATTTGGGCTCCCTGTGTTTCTGCAATGATCGCGCAGTAACATTTGCATTGTGGGCGTCAAAGTAGTTTTTGCATGACCGGGAAAATGCACGGCACGGTATGGTGACGATACGGAATGATAACCAACCACAGCGCACGATCCCTCTCATCCAATCAGTACGCTCCACATCGCCCCGTCACGGTCACGGTGCGCCCATACCGTTAGCTTTTTAATGGTCATACAAAGTCTGCTCTAATCAAGTTAACTACATGGGATTGTGTTTTTTCCCCATTTTTTGAATTACCTGCACAACAATTGTCATCTTTCCATCGACACCTATTTCAATGATCTGTAAAAACGATAATTTATTTATCAGATATTTGAGGTTTCAAGGTACTTGGAGAGGGAGGGGCTGGGGGGCTTTAGTCTTTTCTCCCCCCCTCCCCCCCCCCACACTTAATTAGCCTTCTTGCTCCCACCCCACCCACCACAAACACATCAAGGTGCCCTGTTGTCCTTAGTTACGTGTATAACTACTGCGTGATTGGTTGATCATGTTCATACCTCATCATTGCCTGTACCAATCAGAATCTTATCTTCATCTGTGTGGATTGATCTGATTGGTGGAAGGTCTTGCAGCAGGACTGACCCAGGATTCATTGCGCTGTTTTCAACCTTGAACGCCTTCAGGCACTGTTCAAAGTATTTATCCCACATGACTACCACACCGTCACGACCTCCTGTCACGTAACCCTATGAAATATGTACACACAATAATATTATATTAAACAGTGGACAGACTGAGACCAAGCAAGCCAGAGCTGAGGACAGACAGACAGGAGGACTGACAGACAGATAGGCAGAAAATTGATGGTCAGAGAGACAGAGGCAGTCAGACAAAGCGATGGTCAGACAGTCATAGATACATCAAAAAGATGGAGACAGACAGAAATACATACAGATTAGTCATTAAACTTGACATGAAATGGCATTAAATTTAAATGATATCTTATTAAATTTATCAATTTTAAAAAGTGAAATAATTGATACAAGGAAAATATCTGTCAGCCCCTACAAAAGACAATAATATTAATGAATCTTTTATATCAAAGACAGAGTACTAAAGGTGCATGCGCACTTACAACATCTGAAGATTGCATCTCACAAGGTAGAGAGACCTCGAAGGTAGGAAAGAAGGAAAATAGAAATTGAAAAAAAAAAGGACCAAAGAAGATATTAACATCATCATTGAGAAGATTAGAAAGGTTCATTGATTAAATACAATGAGAAGGGGTTTTGATTCTTATTGATATGATTTGAAATAGGATGGTCCTTTGCAGTACCTCTAGGTCCTTTCTTAAAGTAACACATTTTTAGTAAGGGACAAAAAATTGCATAACACAAGCAAGGGCCCTTTCTAGGACAACTCACATTGATTCTTAGACTGACACATGGCACATTGAGATCCATATTGGAACCTAATAGTCCCTTTTTAAGGATATCTTACCTCATTCTTAGACTGACACATGGAGTACATGGCACAAACAGGTCCCTTATGGGCCTGCACGGTCCTTCTCAGTGTAGTGCCCTGCCATACATACACTGTGCCATTGTCTGAACCAGCAAAGCACAAGTCATCAATTGGGCTGTGACAGACACACAGCATAGTAGCTGCTGTTCCTGCTTTGCCAAATGTCACTGGACGCTTGTCAATCTTGGAACCTATATGCAAAGGAGAATGCTTTACTGTAAGTCACTAATGTGGTTTTTTCAACCCCTGGCCCTTGGCTCTACTATGTTTTAGGATCATTATCAAAGCTGAAGCACAGATTACACATTAGTACACCTTTAAACTCTCAAAAAAGAAGCTAAAATATAACTTCCTCTATATCTAGCTTATCAATAGCATTGATCAATATTGTGGTAACTACTACCGATCAAATAGCTTAGCCCTGCTGATGACCAAAGATAATGCTAGCGTAATCACCAGAATAGCATGTAATTGTGTTAGCATGAGTTTAACGTATATAGGTGACAAGCGGGCGGACAACAAATGGAAACAGTGGCTATCATAGACTATTCGCTGCTTCTCAGATTGAGTCTAACTTTGCCTATATTATATCTAACCACATTAATGCCATGAAGTTATGAAGTAAATCCTAACCATTATGAGTCCAAAATTTGATGTGTTTTTCTCCAACAGAAACAAAATAGTTGGGGTTGAATGGATTCCACTCCAGAACAAAGATCATATCTTTGTGTCCTCTAGTGCTTGCCAGCTTCTCTTCTTTCCTCCAGTCCCAGATGCAAATAATATGGTCATCATCAAGTCCAACATCTGCAAGCTTCTTTCCATCCCCTTTTTCAATGCAAAAAAGAAATTTATTATAGATGCTTTGTATCAACCATGTAATACTTTATTTTTAACCAAGCTTTCAGAGATAATTCTCCATCATCAGGGTATTGAAAAATAGTAATAGAGCACGAGGTAAATTCATTATTCTAAAGATGTTGTAGTTGAGGCGATAATTCATTTAATTCTAGTGGTATCAGTGAAGAAGATCCAATGGTCATGGGTCAAAAGGTTTTTTTCAGAGGTTCATGTCAAAGTCAACAAATTTTATCTAGAAGAAAGTTATTAAAGTGCCTATCACCCTTCTGACAATATTCTCAGTATTGATTCTACATGGGGTAAGATGTTGAATAACCCGAAAAAATTACATAGTTTGAGTGCGGCTTCTTGAAGTTATGAAGGTTTTTTCATGCCATATGTTAATGCTGTGACGTATGAGGAGGCATTTATGGTTATTTGTTGTTCCTCGGAATTCGAAACACCGGCTTCTATGGGAAAACTAACTTGCATTCATTTCTATAAGAGCAATGGGGAAAACAATGACGTATTTCAAATTTAATTTATCTGTACCAGTAGTGTTTTGTATATCAAATGATTACTCCTCATACGTCACAGCATTAGCATATGGCGTGGAAAAACCTTTATGACTTCAAGATGCCGCACTCAAACTATGTAATTTTTTCAGGTTATTCAACATCTTACCCCATGTAGAATCAATACTGAGAATATTGTCAGAAGGGTGATAGGCACTTTAACTTTTATTAAATGATTTCTTTAGTGTTCCAATGCATGAACTATACAAGAGCAAAAACAAACAAACAAACAAACAAACAAACAATCTTATTGAACCCCTAAACTACCTTTGGTCTAATCTAAAGCCAAGGCACAAACTCCTAGATCAAAATCGAATTTTTGCTGGTTATTTTGGAGGGAGGAAAACTGGAGAACCTTGAGAAAAACTCTCGAATCAAGGAATGATTGAGGGACAAATGCACTTCTGCTACAGCACCCTTGACCACTCAACAAGAAACAATTACTATCACTGACAAATTGCACCTGAAAAATCGACACAAATGATTCCCCTTTTGTGAACACCCTTGAGCCTGGCCACGGTTCTCATTGTCATGGCATCCCAGACATGTGTTTCTGCATATCGACCAACCTATAGAATTACCAACCCAATGATGTCAGTGGAAAAGGTTAGACTTTAATCAAAATTGGAATCACTCAAGAAACTTTAGTTGTAAAGAAATCCATTAAGGTAAATGTGGTATAATTACTTTGTTAAAAGAGGTTGATATGGGCCAGTTACATTATGACCTATAACCTTATGGTCCTATGTGTTTAACATCTCTGAATGAAGCACAACTACCAGTTTATGTAGTTGCCCCAAGTACCCTCTACTTGGTTTGTCACCCCAGGTATGCCCCCAGGTATACCCCCCTGACCTGCATATGTCTCCCCCTAACATTTGTCATACCTGCCCTGTGGCAACATAATCCTTGACGTCATGTATCGTTAGGCACAATATGTCATCAGTATGGCCCTTGTAGAAACGTTGCTGATGAGTGACTGGACTATATACAATACCAAGAGCAGCTACATGGAAGACCATTTCATTGGACTGCGTGTAAAATAGGTTATTGCAGGCATTGTAACCATGGTAACTGTCAATCAAGAACAAAAAATTTATCTTTTAAATTAGCAAGTAAAGTTGAAAGATATAGTAGGGTTGTGTACGTATATGAGTAAATCCTTTTATCAATTTATTTAGAGGCTTTCATCACGCTTGACTACGAAAGCAAACAAGCATGATGAGGGGCAGGTTTTGTTGTTAGTTTATATTGAGATAAAGTCAAAACTAACCCAAATGCAAACTTGAGCTCTAGTCCTTCCTTTGGAAGTTGTAAAGATCTGTTTGGACTGGTTGACCTTGGCCTGCCTTGTGTATCTCTGCTGGGTGAATAGCTTCGCACTCCCCTGCAAGCACAAACAATTGCAATTATTCAATCTGATACCCCAGGAGCAGATCCAGAGGAGTGGTGCAGGGTGTGTCCCTTACCCCCTAGATGAGCTGACAATGGTTCAGGCTATTTACACTCAGTTATAGATTTAATGATATCTACTGTGCTCGAGTTTGTGAACTTCCTATCTAAAATCACTCCTAAAAAATCCTAGATCTGCTGCTTTAATACAAGTAAGGAGAGCATATACAAAAGTAGATATTTGGGATGGTATACACTTACTTACTTATGTACTTACTTAAGTAAACTTGTACGTTTTTTATTGGGGGGAGGGCTGGGAGATTTGCAGTAATTTTCAAAAAATGGTTGTTACCCTCCTCCCTTCACTCACGACAGTAAGAAATTAATGATTCTCCAGCCTATTAAGCCAACAAAGAACAAGCTTTGGTCAAAATAAAAATGTTTGACCCCCACAAAAGTTAAAATGTTTACTGATGACCCTCCCCTCTAAAGCCCGAGCACTCCCCCCCTCCTCCCCCCAAATAAAAATTATACCTTCCCTTAGTAAATGTTTATTTCTGAACTAACCACATATTCTTCTTGGATGCTTTAGGTTCATCTTCTCTATTCATGGCAGTTATAGGACATGTATTATCATCATGTAAAACAGACATACATGGTCGACAGGTCACAGGTTGCCTGGCTTCCTCAGAGCATGCTAAGATCCATAGATTCTCGTCTACATTACCCCATGTTGCCATATCATTTTGTGCCGCCTTCCTCCTGAAAGCTACGTCGTACCTTTGCCATGATTTCTTGTCATGGCTGACACGCATTAACCGCATGATATGACTTTGGTACACCATCAAATCTTGTACTCGCTCAGGATTTGTTTGTGCAATAATTGAGATATAAATAGCCATGCAGTCGATCCATTTTGTAACATCATTAATTCTGTCAGTTCCATCTATTGGCGTCTTTAATCCCTTTGCTGTTCCACCAAGGTTCTCTGCAACCATTTCTTGGAAATTTACATACCTTCCTCTTTGTATCTTCGATACCAGCCTATGAGGAATGGGGGGATAGCCTGCATGAAACTGGAAATCACCTTGAATAAGGTCTGTTCTGCTACCTGTCATTGTTCTTCCTCTGGAATTTGCCCATATATCATCTACTTCTTGGGTATTACTTGAAGGAAGAAAACCATTCGAGTTGTGTAAACCGTTTGAGTGTTGGAAGCCATTTGATTTTTGGAAGCCATTCGAATGCTGGAAGCCATTTGTCTGCTGAAAGTTATTAGGTCCCCACGAATGACTTAACCTATCACCTTTCTTAGCACTTTTATCTCTTCGTAACCCCCTCCAGTGACCATCTTGCCCTGCTGTCATGCTTCGTGAATGTTTGAAGGACGTGTTTGGCGATATTGAAGTGTTTAAACGATCATATTCATCATCACTATCGTCGCTCAGCCCTGGCGAGGCACGACGTAACCACGTACGGGCCTGCTCTTGAATCTGTAGTTTTTTTGCTTGTGACGACAATAATGTCTCCCAGGCAGGCTTCTTTTTCTTCCCGCCTTTAGTACCGCCAGGATCTACTTTATTCTTCTCTCTCGTAAACATTATTATGCGTAGTTTTGTACTATTCGATTATACTTACACACGCCTCGCCAACAATGAACAAGTGTTAAACCTCCCCTTTCAATGCTCAATTCAAACTCAATAAAATGCTAACAAACTTTCATAAGTTTGCATACAAAATATCACAGTTATAATACGATAAAAGGTGTCAGACAGTATTTACTTAACGGACGTACGGCAGAGTAGGTACAAAAGCCAGCCACAACGAGCTCGTATCCAAGCAGATTTTACGTAGTGACTTTATTCACTCGCAAATAACTCAATAACTAAGTCTTTTGGCGCGAGAAAACTGATAAAATCCATAGAATAAATCCTGTTTTAGCTTACTACCAAGTTTCATGTCCCAGGAAACTTCAGAATGAATAAAAAAAGGTATTTTCTTGACCAAAACAATACCTCACGCTAAGAGTGATTAGCAACCTAATATTTTTGTCTTCCATGTTGACCTGGGGCGAGCATCAGACCGAGGCTCACCGCTCCATATCATGGCCTGGGTACCAATTATCTTTCTCTCTCTTTGCTATAACTTCCATCAGGTATAGAAGTTTGTAATAAAAATCTCTTAATATCTTGTTCATCTTGATAGGAATTTTAAATTAAAAGGCGCTAACAAGGAGAATAAAGCTTAGATTAATGTTTGAACTTTATATTTTAAAATTTATGTTGATATTTTGTTGGTATTTTGAGATGATAAAATGACCCATCTCGTATTCACTTGTCAGGCAAAATGGTGCGAGTTAACGTCCTTAACGACGCTCTTGTGTCAATTTGTAATGCCGAAAAGCGTGGAAAAAGGCAAGTCCTTATTCGACCAAACTCCAAGGTCATCTCCAAGTTCCTGACAGTCATGATGAAGCACGGTAAGTCGATGGAAAATGGCTTTGTTGTTGAGCTCTTTCCTCGGTCTCTCTTAGCGTTTCTCACGTGTGCAATCGGTTTTTCTTCCATATCAAGAAGCTATAATACTGTACATAATGTTCTTTAATAAACAACATAGGACATAGTAGAATCACCTTGAGATGGAGCAAAATAATCCAATGAGTGCGATCCAATAGCACCCTTGTATCTCACCTCTTTAGTCTCTGGTTTGATTCCTGGACTCAGCATCACGTTTGAGTTAGCCATGCCCTGACTTAGATCAGCCCAGAGGTTGTATTAGGGCTACATTTGTGAGTTAGCCGTTCCCTGACTTAGATCAGCCCAGAGGTTGTATTAGGGCTACATTTGTGAGTTAGCCATTCCCTGACTTAGATTAGCCCAGAGGTTGTATAAGGCTTTGATAAAATTGAGGGTTTTCTTTACAGACTAGGTAAAGTGAACTGGTTGTCTTGTCTCCTGTTGATAACCAGTATTCCTTTACCTTCCAGGTTACATTGAAGAATTTGAAATTGTTGATGACCATCGTGCTGGAAAAATTGTTGTCAACCTAAATGGAAGACTCAATAAGGTTAGACAATGCTATCCATTCTACTCCTTATTGTTATGTTCTATTATTCTATTATATCATCAGATCTAGTATTTTGAGTTAAGGAGTTCATCCCATACACAGGGCTAAAGATAATGGCTGGTCATCAGCCAGAATTGGAACTCGTCCCATAGCCTGTGYGCAGCTCAACTAACTGTTAACTATACGAGAGAAAAGTCTGGCTGCATGCAGGTAACCTGTCCCAGGGCTTAAAATAAAGGCTTGACAATGGATGTTTGCCCAGAACTGGGAATTGTCTGGTTAAATCTTTGCCTTGCTGGTCATTTTGACCAGTAATGTTGAGCAAGAAATGAAATGAGTCATAAGTAAGCTAAAACTAATTTTGTCTGTGATCATGACTGGCGAGTAATTGGCCATTGTCTTAAGCCCTGTTGTCCAGTCAAGTCTTTGCATTGTTGGTCATTTTAACCAGTAACACTGAGCTGGAAACAAGGTATGACTGTGCTAAATCTACTTTGGCTGACAGGCACCTTACTAGCCATTATTTTTAGCCCCATCATATACAAATTATATTTTTTAGAGACGTAATTATTTTCCCTGGGCAGTAAGATGGTTTCACTAGCACCCAATAAACCTCCTCTAGGTATGCGCTAGCCAACTATAAAATGCTTTGAATTCTGATTGTGATTCTTGTTATTGAGTGGCAAGACTGCATTGATTACGATTCTTTTGTTTTTATAGTGTGGAGTAATCAGCCCCAGATTTGATCTTGCTGTTAAAGATATTGAACAGTGGGCCAGTGATCTCCTCCCCTCTAGACAATTCGGGTAAGTGAGATAACTTCAATTATGATAATATATGGTTTCTGATATTCTACAATATCTGAAATATCTTGTTGTGAAATTGATTTCTTAATGCCCCCAGTCATAAATATAAAAGGTACCAACTGATTATTTTCGATAGACGGCAGCGAAAAACCAAATTTCATTGTGTAACTCGAGCCACCGAGTTTGAAGAACATTTAAAAGTGCAGTAATGTTTTTCTCTGGATTGGCTTGCAATGTAATAAATTCAACATTTCATTTTAATGCTATCTCTCTCTTACAGATATCTAGTATTAACTACATCATCTGGAATTATGGACCATGAGGAAGCCAGAAGAAAGCACACTGGTGGAAAACTACTTGGATTCTTCTACTGAAAAAGTAGAATGTAAAAAATAAAATACATTTGCCATCAGAATGTGTTGTTTGTTTTGATTCTTCCTAGGGGGATTTTACTTGTGAAAAACTAGTAAGAATAATACATATTAGTAGACTCGAATTAGGTTATTTTCTTTAGTTTTACTTTGACTTTTAGTTAGTAAAACATCTTATGCAGCTTTGTTTCATGGGCCAAGTAAAATTTCACTATTTATTTTGAAACTCGGGTCCAATATACCCATCAATGCCTAGCTTACTTACTCTCCCACCTAAACCTTATTCATTGTTTGGCCCATCCTTATTAGGGCCACCTTAAAATTATCAGTTTGGTAATGGAGTACCCTGTACAATAAAGTTATTATTCATTTGGGTATACTAATGTGTCGAACTCACCATCTTGAGTTCATGAAACAGTATTGTAACCATTGGTGGATAGGATTTGCTGCTAAATATTAGAACACGAGATGGCAAAGCCTCGTTGATACTGTCCCCAAAATTTGATACACCAAGAGCTGGTTAGAACCATTGTTTATTCGAACTTTTGAAACAGTTGTCCGTCGCAGTTATGAAAGTTGCACACTGCGAATAATTGTAAATTCACAGCCGAACACCATAGTTTAGATTGAAATACGAAGCATAGCTTTTGAGTTAGAAGTGCAATTTTTTTCTCTTTTAGCCGGAAAACCTAAAAGCATAAAAATGTATAGTTTCAGAACTCCGACTGACAACCTTTTTGGAAATAGGTGTATCTTTTAGTGAAATCTGTGATGGCTACTAATGAATTGAAATTGGTTTCATAACTTTTTGGAATCACTTGGATGCTTTAACTTTGATATTCCATCATGACTAGAATGACATTTCAAACTTCATTTTTCACCTTTATTTTGTATTTGTCCTGCTTGTGATCATAGTTATATTTTCTAGTTTTTCTCTTTAAAAGTCCCTTTAATACTTTGCTGGACTGCACTTGAAGGAAAGGCTTTTTGATCCAACCACTTTCAAAGTAGTCTTAAAATCTTTTTCAGATAAAAATTTAGCGGCGTTTGATACCCAAGGTATCTCAAAAGCAATTAAATAAAGACATCCTAGATTTCCTTATTGATAATAATTATCAAAAAAAACTAATGGTCCGAGATTAATTAATCTAAAGCATCTAGATTAGGGACGGACCATTAGTTTTTTGGGGGGGGGGGGGGGGGGGGGGGTGTGTGGGCAATTTATTTTGTGCAGGAATTTTTTCTGGCACTTTTCTTATGCACAATTTTTTTTCGCTCTTTTTTTTTTTTTTTTAACCCCACCCTCAAAAATCTAATGGCCTGTCCCTTAGATCCATAAACTTCTGTTGAGGAATCATCTGCTTTCAATAAAAAAAGATAAGGTCCGAGTCTCCATACAAGGGGGAGAATTACCCTGTTGCTTGTCTTCTTTACCCAAGAGCGATAATAAGTTAGAGTAAGCAGGGCTTGAGGATAATCTGCTTCAATGTGTAATTTCAGAATTAGGATTTTTTAAAGCGAAGAGGTAGGTTTATTGAAATTCCTAAGAGAAGGCATGTCTAAAATCAGTCAGGAGATATTTTAAAATAATTCTGGAACTACAAAACAGATTTCATTTGAGTTTTTTAGAGTGTTAAAATTGCTCAGAAAATAAATTAAAACAGTGGTGATTTTTTTCTTCTAAAAGATTTGAGAGATCAAGTTAGTTTTTGCCCAGCTAGTGAAACTAGTAAAAAAAGGTTTCCACCATACTGTATGGACTGAAGAAGGTTGTCTACCCCTCAAACGGATTTAGTTCTGGAAGTGAAGCACTCATTGATTGTGATATTCACATGTCAAACAAAACATGAGTAGTAGTTTGCTGAGAGCTTAAGCACAGATGGAGTGCTCAAAAATGTCATCGTCATAGTGATAATGGTCTATCAGCAAGACATGTGTCATGTCCCTCCACCCTTGCGTAAATATCTGTATGCAAGGAATGCAATGAAGGCGAATGCCGTGGCACCAACTCCTGCCATTATCCAGAATGACCCCATGTTGTCTGCATTTGGGCCACAAAGATGGCTGAAATGTAAGAAACTACTTATTAGGAATTTTAGTAATGTTTTTAGTTTGGGCTTCCTGTTGTATACCACAGGCAACCCATAATCTACTTTATGTAAACAAGATTCACTGGGTACTTACGGATATACTGCCATTCGAGCAAGTTTAACATAGATGCTTGCATTCATCTCAGGGTTCTCATGAAAAGGCTTTTGATAAAGAGGAATAAACAATCACTGGACCATCTCCCATGGGCTGGGTAAGTGAAATTTCTAGGGGGAAGGGGGTGAGGTTGAAAAAGTTGTCATGAATCCTTTTTCCATCAAACATACAGGGAGGCATTGCTTTGAAAATAAGGGTTATTGTTATGGAATTTTCTGCGTACAAAATAAAAGTCAAATGCCTGCTTACCATTGGAGGTGGTAGCTTATTTAAAGATGTGTACATGGTTGGTTGTAGTTCATATTCCTGATAATAGAAAACAAAATGAAGAACAAAACATTGTACATGACTTCACCCCTACCCCTCTGCGCATTTTATAATGCTACTTTATCTTGGGCGTTTTCCAGAACACAAAATGAAGAACAAAACATTGTACATGACTTCACCCCTACCTCTTTGCGCATTATATAATACTACTTAATTTTGGGCGTTTTCACATTTGAGACTTTTATGTAGCAGTCCCTAGAGTACCATTTCTTTGCGTAATGGTTGTTCATGACAAGACACATGAACGTGGATAATATTCAAACAAAGAATCTCATTCTCGAGGGAATGACACATGGTATGAAATGGGAAAACATTATGCCCAAGGGAAAAGAGTCTATTAGAGCAGTTTTTGTATAACAGTGAAAAGCTCATGGCAAGGGATACTGTATGTCAGACTGCATGAGAATTTACTCACTATCTAATCAAATACCCAGAATATGGCATAAACACCGAACAGAGACAGTCACGCCAAGGTCACGGCACTGTCTGACCAATCACATTGCAAGAGAAAAAAGACAGCCAATTTAAATTCTAGAAAATATCAGGGTTACAGCAGGGCACGCTTACACCACTAAGCTTTTCACAGTCATGTGAAAACTGTTCTAGTTTGAGATTAACTGTACCAACCTGTCTAACTACAGATATGTTGCTTTTGGTTGCTACAAACAGACACGGCACTGTCTTGGGGAGTTTCTGATTAAAAAGTTTAGTACAACAAAAAGATTAATGGGAAAAAAGAATGAAGTATCTGTAACAAAAATCAAAAAATAACTCCTTCATAAAGATTACTACTGCTTTCATTGCTACGTACTGATTGAGACAAAGTCACTTGAGAGATTAATTCAAATTTATCTATGTATATGTTTCGTGGAAATAAAACTGTTGTTGTAGACTACCTAGTCTCCTTAGCAGCTGCTATTAGTGGAGTGAGCACTGTGTGATGACATAAATAGTGGCTGAGTACGAGACTATATACCAACTGTCAATCAAAAAACTGTTGCCATGTACCTTTACACAACATAAAGATTTATTTGATTGACCATTGGTAGTTTATTGCCAAGTAGTAACTTGTCATGACTTTTCTCTTGATAAGGGACATATAGCAATGGAAACAGTATAACGGCACATAATGGGACAGTATTTATCAAAGAAAATACACAGCCAACCTCATGTAGTTGTACAGCTTGTGAGAAGGAAGCAGGATCAGTAGAGTCATACAGGAAACAAGCTACATCACATCTACGATCATGGAGCAGTAAACCAGAACTCTCCCAATCTATCTTGCGCAGCTGTTACAACACAAATGGATAAACATTATGTTTGGCACTAAAATGCTAAGTTAAATTTGTCAATGTCTTTACGTACCACTAGATATTTTTCTTGACGGTTTATTTGCAACAAGTTTATTGCATAATTAGAAATGACCTTATCTTTCTCCGATTCCTGAAACATGCAAATATCATTAGGAAAGTTCAATCAGTCCATCCAATTCAAGATGAAATGGGATTGAAAGGAATGAAAGTAAATCATAAATACCTGTATTGTTTTGTCCAGGAAGGATTGAAGGAATGCAGTCTGGAATAAGAATCATAAGATTATAAATTATTCACAAATCTGTTGTTGACGCTGTTGTTGTTTTTATTGTTGTCAATGTAATTGTTGTTGTTGTTGCCAATGAAGTTATTGTTGTTGCTGTTGTAGCTGCTGCCGGTTTTATTGCTATTGTTTCTGCTGTTGCTGATGCTATTGCTGCTGTTATTGTTGTTACTGTTGTTGTGCTGCTGCTGTTGTTGTGCTGCTATTGTTTCTGTTGTTGTGACTGCTGTTATTGTTGTAAATGTTGTTGTTGTCATTGTTGTTACTGTTGTTGTGCTGCTGTCATTGATGTTGCTGCTATGATTGTTTTTACTGTAGTTACTGAAGTTATTTTTATTGTTAGCATAACGTGTGTGGTTAATAATGTAATAGTCTACTGTTGTGATAGAGTAAGAAAGGACCATACCTTGCCTACACCTGGAGGTCCAAATACATAACACTGAAAAACTGAACGAGTGGTAGATTTCTTCTGAATGTCAACAGACTTGCTGCGCGTCACTAGAAATGTAATAAAATAATTAATATAATAGTAACGATCGAGTGATAGATTATAAAAAATTACATGATGACAATGTAAAGTAATAACCTTATATTATGAAATAAAGAATAAACATAAATTATCAATAGAGGCAAAAGAAAATGGATATAACCAATCTCATGCATTTGGTGTAAATTTGATTACAATTTTTATTGAAACAGACCTTTACCTTGGGTATAATGTCTTACTATATTTCAGACCACATGTCATTCCCTATAGTATCATTCTTGCATGAGAAGACACATGAATATGTATACAACTCAAACAAAGAATATTATTCTCAAAATGAATGACAAGTGGTCCAAAATGGGAAAACATTTTACCCAAGGTGAAGAGATCTTAGCTATTACTTATGCAATTAGTATATGTAATAAGACTCCATGCTGTCCAATTAAGAAATAATTGGACAAGGAAAATTCCGAGGACTGACAAAATTGGATGAGGCTGTAGGCCGAGTCCAATTTGGCAGTGAGAGGAATTTTTCGAGTCTAATTATTTCTTGATTGGGGAGCATGAAACCCCATTACCTATTAATTATATAGCTGCCTAATTAATTCCAAATCAACAAGACCTGCCCAATTAAGAAAATAATTGGACAGTTACCTATATGGGATTAATGAGAAGCTGTATAATTAAATGTTTAATGATACTGTGATGTCTAACAGAAATAGGGTTAAAAATAAATTTCCAGTTATGTGTTATAAACATCAACTAAGTATATAATATGTAGTGTTTTGAGACTGAAAATAACCATGAATAAACATCAAACAAAAGAATTAATAGACCGTTGACAGGAACTTGACAGGCCATGATACAAGAACATGAGCTTCTTCATACATTTCTAGGAGATTTTTTGATAAGAATTCATAAAATCGATTATTCTCCTCTTTAAAATATAAACCTGGCTTCTCAATTGTACTGAATTCCCATTTTTCAGTTTTGTGGCCCGTCAAGTTGGAGGGCACACAACCTTGAGAAAACGGTCTATTCACAGAAGTTTGACTGTACAATTATCTAGATAATGAGCACCAAAAATTTTCCTGGAATAAGTGAAATGGAAAAATGAAGAGTGAATGCATTACTAGCCAACAAGAAGAAAGGAATAATGAATAAATGAATGGGAAATGAAAAAAAGATTAAAGCAATTAACTCAAGTATGAGCACTAGAAAAGAGCCTCGTCAGAATGAAAGAAATATGAATTACAAAGTTAATACAGTAAGCCCGTCAGACTTGCAACATAGAAAGCTAGTCTGTAAAATGCAATTCCACAGGCAACCCATAACCTCATTTCGACCAAAATACATTTTACAAAAAATTCATCATGGCAGAGCCTTGAGCTACCTGTGACACATGGAGGCTAGTAATGAATAAGAGAGCAAAAGAGAATAATAGAATACCCAGTTTAGATACAGCCCAATCCAGCCCTTCCTGAGAGGCCTGGAGAGAAGCTTTGAGCTTTTTTCGGCTTCGAATAAGTCTAGAAACAGAGTAGGCAATAGGAACAGGCATTGGAAGACAGACTGGAAGAATAGAAGAAGATATGGAAAAGTTAGCAACTTTAGAACAAAGCATTACTGATAGTAGCTAGCTCAATATTAGTTCAATCTTTATTGTCAGTAGAATGCAAACTGTGAGACTGTGTGTCTGTGTGTGAGGATGCGCAGGTGTAATGTTTGCCAAAAAATTGTTTTTTTTGTTTTGAATTGTTTGTACTTGTTATCTCTTATGAAAGAAAAGATTTATCTATATTTTTATACTGAGTCTGGCACATTTTAAACTATTTATGTGAGATAAAACACAAATATTGAGAAAACATGTACCTGTAATAGCTGTAGATAGTTGTGTTTCGGTGTCTCCATGTGTGTAGCCAAAGTAAGCAAGATAAGACAGTGTTCTGGTATAGTCAAGGAATGTGGTCAACCTGAAAACGATGTGTCAACTAAAGTGAATTTCAGAGAAGTGGAAAACTAGTAAATGCAAATTTAAGTAAATAAGTAAATGGGGGTTGAATTTAAAAGTGGGTTGAGCACTCAACCCCTTCATTGGGGAGGTGGTGATTATATTGTGTTTAGAGCAATAGCCCTAATGGGTTCAATCTGTTCCCATTTCAGACCATGTGTCATTCCCTAGAGTATCATTTCTTTGTTTAATTCTTGCACATGAGAAGACACATGAATATGGATACAACTTAATAATAAAGCATCTTATAACCTCTAGTGAATTTACACATGGTCTGAAATGAGAAAACTGGTCTATTAACCAGGTGTTAAGAGAAACTTACGTCCACTGAGCAAGGAAACCCTGCAATGTTATCCATCCTTTGTCATTTGTTTCTGTGGAACTGATTACCTCATCTCCCCACGGCATGGATGGACACATTGAAAATAGTTCCTGTATAATAACAATAACTATGATAAGATATTCGAGAGATTTATGAGATGAAATAAAAAAAGATTCTGATGATGGTTGATTCTTTTTATTATTATTTTACCTGTAATTCCACAGGACTCAGTGCTTCGTCTTGGTCCTAATTAAGCAAAATCATGATTAATATATTACTTGAATATTTTTTGGGGGAGGTTCAATGCATATCAAAGGCATTTTGAGTATTAATTTATTTACAAGACACAAACTTTTTTTTATGTAACCATTTTATCCTCACTTCCTTCTGTCTGTTTGTTTTCATTTTGCTTTTCAAATGAATGATTCAAAGGTATTTTGAGCATCAATTTTATTTACAAGACACAAATTTTTTCTAACCCCTTTTTCCCAGACTCGTACCCACTGAGTCATCACTCACACCTTTAATGGCGGCCTGCAGCTGCAGCCTGAGATCAATAAGTGAAGAGAAGCAACTGAGTATGAGTCTGCCTTTATCCTTACTTTATTCTCTCTGTTTTTATTTTGCTTCATAATGGTGTACCTATAAATGTACATACACACGTACCTTATCATATTTATTAAAGAAATCAATCAGAAATTCATATCCAGCATCTGACAGCTCCACTGTATTGTCAACACCCACTTCAATCCTGAAAATAATATTAATATTATGATTAATAGTCAATCATTAATTATATAATATCTGCATTATCTTAAGTCAAAATCGTGTCAAGTTTGTTTCAAGTTGTGTCACTTCATGTCAAATCTGTGTCACCTGTCAAATCTGTTTTAAATAATGTCAAATATTTATTGATGTATCATGTCAAATCTGTCACAAGCCAAAATCGTGTTATATGTAAAATTCTGTCACATGACAAAACCATGTCACAACATGTCAAAATCATGTCTTCCTGTGATACATCATGTCAAATCTGTCACATCAAAATTGTGTGACGTGTCAAAAATTGTGTCACATCATGAAAAAAACATGTCACAACATGTCAAATTCAAGTCATCCTGTGTCATATCATGTCAAATCTGTCATGTCAAAATTGCGTGACATGTCAAA